ATAATTATTATATATACACGATTATACACAGAAACTTCGTTATAAGCTTAGGCAGACCAGAACCTTGTCAAATTCTTTTTCAATTCACATAAAGCTCCAATCGTATTTCCATATCTGCGGTAATTAACCTTTGATACACACGATCAAAAACGATACTAAACTGGTCTGAAAACTTAAGGTGAGTAACTGAAAAATCAGTATATACAGGAGCATAGGCGCTATGAACCTTATACTTTTCAGCCAGCTTTGACAACTTGTAAGACTTAATATCCGGTTACGAAAACGAAAGAGTGCCCCAATAAGCGGCAAAACCAAGCTGTTCTAAACTGTAACCCGGTTTTTGTCTATCACGGCCGTCTTTAAACGCTTGTAATTTCATCTATTCTCAATAGCATATTAAATTTTTATTTCTTCAAAAAAATATCTCTCGCAAACTCAAGAAAGTGGTGAAATGAGCACATTGTCAAATTGTGTAAAAAGTCAGTATAAAAAAAATAACTTACAATGTCGTATCCAAAAAAGCTGCACTATTTATTCTACCGTGCACTGGCAAGAGAATCATGGCCAAACAGCACTCGCTGTCAACAGCCAGCATTATTATGTTCGAAATATATAGCCAAAAGAGTTCAGCAAAAAAAAAGCGAACAGATCTAAAAACCAACTACAATAATAAATCCTCCCTTAAAAAATTTTCTAAACTACGCAAGGGCAAAAAATTTTGAGTACATTTCACTAGACTGGCCTAACTGAATCTATATGTATACTTCTCTCATTAATATCTCGAAATCTTTTGAAGATTTCTTTTCTGTAAAGTTTAGGTCTGCATTTGAGAAAACAAGAGGGAACTTGAGTTCATATCCACCGTTAAAAATAAAAAACTGGTAATTTGGATCATGAATATGCTTATGATGGCTTGGAAATCTTCTTCTGCATTATCAGAAGAGGAGTCATTTGTAATTCTAGAGTAAACAAATAAATAAATTGCAAATATTTTTTTTTTCTAAAATACACTCTCCAGAACAGATTTTTGACAACTGAATAATAGTGGATATTTGTAAAGGTTAGCCTTACCTTTGAGAAGCAGATTCTAAAACCGGCGATGGTTTTGTCAGCGCAAAGTTTACGCGATAATTGTAACAATGATAGACTTTTGTCA